AAATGACAGCTCCTGATCAAAAACAACACCAAGATTTTTTACTTAATTATCTGAAATCAGTTTAATCCAATACAAATGAAGTAACTGACTAATTAGCTTCTTTTTCAAAGACTCTGGTCCAAAGACTTAAGAGACATCCAGGTTTTTATGTCTTAAAGACATGCCTGTAATTTATGTAATCGGTTATCTTCATCTGGATTTATAGACAGATATAACTGAGTATCATCAGCATAACAGTGGAAATGAATCCCATGCTGTCCAATAACTCAAAGAAACAAGAATATTTCAGGAAGTTAAGATGTAAACTCAAACTTGAAGACTCATCCCACCATTACCTGCATTCAATCACCTCATCTCTACCTGCCATCCTGTGACTTTCTGTTTAAACCTCTCCATTCTCAAACTGTCCTGGTCTTCAGATGAGATTCGAACCGCCTCCACCCTATCTCCTCCATCATGCTTCCAAGTTCTTTCTGGATTCCTCCTCCTCTGTCCTCCACTCCACCACCAGTGGAGTCTTCCCGGGGGAGGACATATCTATTTCTAATCTCACAATGATCATCCATGTTCATCGCCATTTGCAGCTTCCATTTCTTCTACTGCTGTAGTTGCCCCAAAGAACTGCCAGATAATCTCTATAATTTTCACTTTTTGCGTGTGTTAGGGATGAGTTTAATTACAGTATTAAATAATTAATTTGGGTAAATCAATGTATGATTTAAAACAAGAAGTGTCTTTTGGACCAATAATAAATGAGTATTCTCAAGTATTTTAATGATATAAAAGTAGAGGGGAACCTGTAGAGAAAGGCTCTATAGCAGAGGGTCAGTTGCCACTGTAGATCTGCTACTGTTTTCATGCAACCACCTCCCAAAATTACAAGACATCACCTTCACTATGTAAATCTGAGTCAGAATTAGGTGCCAGCATCTAAACAAATAATATAAGAATAAATAATCTGGTAGCTTTGAACAAACAGTCACAGCCTGAAAACACATTATATCAAATTCTTTGACTCGAAAATCTATCATGCATTGGAATAGCATAGATAATCAAGGTGAGTCTATCCCCTTGAGATATCTAAATGCATTGTTTCTAACTTTGAAACTATGGAACCTGATAATGAATTTATTCAGATTATTGTGCATATTTGATGCTTCTATTTGAGGTGTCTGGTCTATAAAGTCAGTGGTAAATTGGGTTGCGATGTGAGGGTGTGACGGGGCAGCGCGGTCCCTCCCGCTGATACGCATGCACGCACACATACATACACAGAGAAATGCACGTGCGCACACACCCATTCAACTGCGAGTCCCTTCCCGTGTATGATAGTTACAGATCAATCGCTTTACTCACTTACATTTGCCTCTCGTGTGATGTGGCACGACCAAGGGTGCACACTTGGTGATGCTCATTAATCGGAACTCATACATTTACACTTAAACACATACACACGTTTGCACTTACCCGTGGAGCGTTGTTTGAGAGAAAGTGGGCGGGGCATTTTCAGGGTTTTTCTTTCCTGTTTGTTTTTTACGGTGGCCGACAGGTGCAAATGCGAAGCAAAAGAGAAAACATGCAAACAAAAAAAAGACACGCTCACAAATTAAATGCGGCAAACAAAAAGCAAATAAAATGCAGCAAACAAAAAAGAAGACACCCCCGAATGAAATGCAGCAAACAAAAAGAGAGACGCAAACAAAAAAGAAGACACCCCCGAATGAAATGCAGCAAACAAACAAAAAAAAGACACGCTCACAAATTAAATGCGGCAAACAAAAAGCAAATAAAATGCAGCAAACAAAAAAGAAGACACCCCCGAATGAAATGCAGCAAACAAAAAGAGAGACGCAAACAAAAAAGAAGACACCCCCGAATGAAATGCAGCAAACAAAAAAGAAAACACCCCCGAATGAAATGCAGCAAACAAAAAGTGTTGAAAACGGAAGTGCTCCAGACCACTAGGGGGAGTCAAAGAAAATAGTATTCATTTCTATGGGACCAGATGCAAGATTCAGATGAAGATATTTGAAAGAAAGTAAAGGTACGTATTACTATATTTCTTTTTAGATACGCCGTCTTTTATAATATTACAGAATAACAGAATAATTTATGCGTAGCGGGATAGACTTTGTGTCAGTCATACCGTTGATAGATAGATAGATAGATAGATAGATAGATAGATAGATAGATAGATAGTGAATTCGATTTACGCTTTTAACTTTCGTATTTTTATCTTTTTTTGATTGCTCTTATTTTTTCACAGTGACTCTGTGAAGTATTATCCTCTATAATGAGGTATTTTTCGGGGAGGTTCTGTGCTTTTTTGTGCTGTTTTTATCATGCTGCTCCCACCGGGACACGCTGCCTTTGTTTACTCCAGAGAACAGCTGATCGCTCTAATGCCGGCCGGCGTTTTAGCCAGACAGCTGAAATACCACCCGAACTCTGGAGGAAAACACGCCGTGGTTGCAGAGGAGGAAAACAACATTATCACTTTACTTGGATTTATCACTTTAATTGGACTTTTCACTTTATTTGGATTTAGTTTTTACATATGCATAGATATACGTACAGATATATATACAGAAGAGCTATATGTGTATATATATTTTATCTCTGTTTATTCTTATTTTTTATCTTTATTATATTGTATAGTTGGATGTGTGTATATATCATGTAAAACTGTAACTGGAGCGTGTAACAAAAGTAATTTCCCTCTGGGATTATTAAAGTATTTCTGATTCTGATTTACCTTTTTTAGGTGGCCATGTTTTGCTGTTTCTGTGGACAAAATCTAGGAACAATTCAAGTTTTCTGTTTTTCATGTGGGAAGAATGTGCAGATCTTGGCACAAGCTCAAGACACTGGTAAGCAGTGATGGCATAGTTACTTGTAAAAATTAACTTTAATCGATTACTTATTACTACTTGAAAAAGTAGATTAGTGATTACTTTTTTTGGAAATTCACTAAGTTACATTATTTATTTTTTTTCTCCACCACTTGTGAAAAGCTTGAACGTTGCAAATAATTAATTACAAGTTATTTAATTATAGTAATATCAAGTATGTATCTCCGCTTATAAGGTTGAACTGAACGGGAGATTAATGGTTACAACAGCACCCACACACACACACACAGTGCATCAGCAATATTACCTATGCTAAATAAAAATAATAAAAATAGATTAGACATATTAATGTTCTTTGTGTTACTGAAAAATATCAGCTCTTTTGATAATAATTAAGGTGATTTCTGTTTCAAACTTTTTATAGATTCAAGGATGGCCTTTCAACACTGAACTTCCAGAATGCTTTGGAGCAGCATGCTTCCATCTTCAGGCCATTTATGCGTGCAAGAGTGGAACAGCTGACATCCAAAATATTGGAGGAAATATTTGAGGTTCAGCTCAGTGAAAAGGGTAGCAGCAGACGACATGAGGAAACAAGAGTGCTAGGATTCTGGAGAGACCTTCTCCTTGACGCAGAAGGAGGACTTTAAGATTTATTGCTATATTCTGGTGTTATTGTAATATCTGATACATAAACTCATTGCTTCTTTTCTAGAACAAAAAATGGGTTTCTTTCTCCAGGACGTCCTGATGTTTGCCACCGGCTTGAACACACTACCTCCATCTTCAATTCTGCCACCACCAAAACTGATCTTTCAGGCCACTTCTCGTTTTCCTGTCAGTAGCACCTGCTCCAACACTATCAAAATACCAATGTCCAAGACGTATCATCAGTTTAAAGAAGACATGGACTTTGGGATTCAAAACTCCCCTGGGTTTGGGCTTTATTAAGGTCAAATGCAAAACAAAACAAAATGCTATCTATTTAACTTGTCAAACCTGTTCAGTTATGACACTGTTTACTGTTTGTGTGCGACCTTCAAATTTGGATTCTTGTTTGTTTATAAGTCCACCATGTTTTTCAGTTTAATATAGTTTTCGACACATGATTCCCAACTCTGTGGATGTGCTAGGCCACACTGTCTCTGGAGGTTCTCAAAATGTGCCTGAAGGTGTTCATCTCCACATTGAATGTTGTTAGTCTCTGTCACAAACTGTCCGAATGGCTCCTGGGAAACTAGGAAACCACAGTCTGTTCCACCAAACCTAGGAATAGAAGAAATACAGGAAACATTTAGTTATATTTACATTTCTTCACTAAACTGTTACTGCTCTGACTATTGTTATAACCTGTCTAAATGATTAATTGTATTTAAATTTACATTTTAGAAATTGTCATCTGAAATTGTTAGAATAAAAAGTGACATACTGTTAACACATTGTTCATTATTTTTGTTTTGGCAAATTATTTTTTAGAGTTCCCAAAGAGGTTTTAAATTAACCAGATGTTGAAGACAAAAACAACAAAAATTACCTGTGAGGTAGATGATACATCACATCTGGTTTACCAGATGGACAGCAAGATTGTTTAACAGGTCTTATGGTATGTTTATGCCACCTGTTCTTGCATTCATCAAGATCTCTCTGTAGCATATCCATGAAGACAAACCGCACAAGGCATGTGTGCTCATGACTTCCATTGAAGAGATGTCTTTCCTTCAAATCGTTCATGAGATCCATCCAGAACTGAGATCAACAATAAACCAAAATTATAAGATAATTATATCAGCAGAAAGTAATAGGACTAGTTTCTATGTCATGAAAATAGTTAAATATATGTTGACCTACAAAGTTAAATATAAAGTAAGCAGACATCAACTGTTATACTTTAAATGTTGAGCTTCTGATTCATCCATATCAAATGTTAAACTATAAAATTAAGTTGTATATAGCACAAAAACATAATGGTCATTAAGAGATATGCAAGTACTTCATTTCTTCTGACAAAGTAGAGGTAATCGAGTAAAATGTTGCATTAAAAATTTGAAATGTTTGCTTATCCAAGAAGACTACTAAATTTATTCACCTTTTCAAGGTCTACTACTTGGTATTTATACAAAAATTACAATAAACTGTTGACAAACTCACCTTTGTTTTCTGAAATATGACCCCCAGCTTTCGATGCGTTGGTTGGCTGTTGAGGAGCCATACATATGGCTGGCAACGCTCAAGCTTTTCACAAGTGGTGGAGAAAAATAAATAATGTAACTTAGTGAATTTCCAAAAAAAGTAATCACTAATCTACTTTTTCAAGTAGTAATAAGTAATCGATTAAAGTTAATTTTTACAAGTAACTATGCCATCACTGCTTACCAGTGTCTTGAGCTTGTGCCAAGATCTGCACATTCTTCCCACATGAAAAACAGAAAACTTGAATTGTTCCTAGATTTTGTCCACAGAAACAGCAAAACATGGCCACCTAAAAAAGGTAAATCAGAATCAGAAATACTTTAATAATCCCAGAGGGAAATTACTTTTGTTACACGCTCCAGTTACAGTTTTACATGATATATACACACATCCAACTATACAATATAATAAAGATTTAAAAAAATAAGAATAAAAAGAGATAAAATATATATACACATATAGCTCTTCTGCATATATATCTGTACGTATATCTATGCATATGTAAAAACTAAATCCAAATAAAGTGAAAAGTCCAATTAAAGTGATAAATCCAAGTAAAGTGATAATGTTGTTTTCCTCCTCTGCAACCACGGCGTGTTTTCCTCCAGAGTTCGGGTGGTATTTCAGCTGTCTGGCTAAAACGCTGGCCGGCATTAGAGCGATCAGCTGTTCTCTGGAGTAAACAAAGGCAGCGTGTCCCGGTGGGAGCAGCATGATAAAAACAGCACAAAAAAGCACAGAACCTCCCCGAAAAATACCTCATTATAGAGGATAATACTTCACAGAGTCACTGTGAAAAAATAAGAGCAATCAAAAAAAGATAAAAATACGAAAGTTAAAAGCGTAAATCGAATTCACTATCTATCTATCTATCTATCTATCAACGGTATGACTGACACAAAGTCTATCACGCTACCCATAAATTATTCTGTTATTCTGTAATATTATAAAAGACGGCGTATCTAAAAAGAAATATAGTAATACGTACCTTTACTTTCTTTCAAATATCTTTCTCTGAATCTTGCATCTGGTCCCATATAAATGAATACTATTTTCTTTGACTCCCCCTAGTGGTCTGGAGCACTTCCGTTTTCAACACTTTTTGTTTGCGGCATTTCATTCGGGGGTGTTTTCTTTTTTGTTTGCTGCATTTCATTCGGGGGTGTCTTCTTTTTTGTTTGCGTCTCTCTTTTTGTTTGCTGCATTTCATTCGGGGGTGTCTTCTTTTTTGTTTGCTGCATTTTATTTGCTTTTTGTTTGCCGCATTTAATTTGTGAGCGTGTCTTTTTTTTTTTTTTGCATGTTTTCTCTTTTGCTGCGCATTTGCACCTGTCGGCCACCGTAGTTTTTCCTCATAAAGGAAGTCAGTGATTTCCGCTGGCAAATTTAATTGTATTTTTTTTTAAGAAAGTAACTTCAGAATGGAAACAGAAAATTATTATTATTTTTTTCTAGGAATAAATGTTTTTTTTTATTTTTTTTTATTTTTTTCCCCTTATTATTATTAAAACCAATACTCAATTGTTTGCTGATGTAATTGTAGGGCGGGGCTTAGGATTTATAAGGAGAGCTGCTGACCTTACTGAGTCAGTCTGGCCTGGTTACAGAGAAGGTCACATTGCTGTGCAGCAGAAAAGGTATTTTTGTCTGAAATTATGTAAATACTACATTTGTTTCCATATTATTTTTATTTTTTTGCATTTTCCCCTGCTACTCTGCTCTTATTTTTGGGAGGTGTGAAATAAATATGATAAACTGAAGATGTCGACATGCCCTCCATGATTTTTTTTCTCATGATTTTGGAGTCAAGTTGATCGTATCGAGGTCTAACACAGAGGCTGTTAGGAAGAACCCACGACAGATGGTGTCAGGAGTGGGATGGCATGTCGAAGGAAAACCATCCGCCTCCCAAAGCAGAGGACTGGACTGCGCTCTCAGCAAGAGGAAGCTTCCACAGAAACAGCATGGGAAACTCAACAGTCTACATCCGCAGATGAGAAGATGGAGCAGCCACAGACTCAATTTGGTGAGTCAGGGAAGGAAATCGTGTCTCTGCTGCAAAACTTCATGGAAGCACAGCAGAAAAAGGAGGACTCATTGATAAACATTCTTCAAGACCTGAAAAGATCTATTCAGCCAGCAGTACAGAAACCTCCATCGAGTACTGGCTCAGTAAGTAGTCCAAGATATCATCTGCCAACTCCAGCCTCACGTCGACCGCTTGATTCAAGCTCATCATCATCCTCCTCCTCCTCTTCTTCAACCCCAACTGAGTCCAGAAATAGTCGGTCAAGACAAAGGCTTCTTTGGGAGGGTCATTCGGATCCAAAGATGCTCCCATATGCAGCTGGTGAGGATATAGAGGACTATTTAATGCGGTTTGAACGTATTGCCAAAACTTGGAAATGGCCAGAGACAGAATGGGCATGCCGACTTGTTCCATTGCTTTCTGGTAAGGCGTTAGCAGCCTACACAGCAATGGATGAAGACAGGGCCCACTGCTATAATGAACTGAAAGCAGCATTATTGGCAAAATTTGACATATCTCCAGAGACCTACAGGCAGCGGTTCCGGTCAACTGTGGTTCCACCTGATGAAAGCCCGGCAGAAACCTACTCCCGACTGAAGGGGCTTTTCCGACGCTGGATTCGACCTACACAGCACACTAAAGAGCAGATCGGAGAGGCCATCATTCTGGAGCAGTTCCTGCGAGTTCTACCGCCTGAGATGAGGACATGGGTGAAGGAACACGAGCCGAAAGATGGACAGCATGTGTAACCCAGGAAAACATAGCCCTCATTAAACATAAACCTTTTCATAAAAATAGCTATAAAATGCTCAAATACGAAATAAATAAATAAACAGGAAATAAATAGGCTTTAAAATAGTTAAAAATATTAATAATAATAATTACAGATATTATAAATGGTGTATTTCATTTTATATTTTATTTTGTTTAAAACTGTATAAAAGAGATTTATTTTGCCAGCAGCTAAATGGTTAAATCTGAGAAAAACGTCTTACTCTGAAGGGTCACATTGATTTGTAGCCCATGTGACAAGCTCCAGCCAATTGGGTCGCTATGTTCTCTGGCGCTAGCAGAGAAAGCGAGGGAGAAGAATAGAGAGAACGAAGAAGCTAATGGAGTTGTGCTGGTAAAGAGAGATAATAAGAGAAAATTGACCATTGAAAAGACTACCTGCTGTCTGGAATATTTTTCACGTTTTTGGAGGACGAGCTTTCCACATATATTTTTTTCCCCTGACCGAATTCGGGAGTGTTTTATGTTACAGAACTGGACTTTGTGAGTTAAAAAGTGTATTTTATTTTCTGTGAAAGATTTTTTTGTAAGACAATTGTATTTCATTGAAATGTGAAGCTAAAGTAGTGCATTTATGTTTTTTATGTTAGAAAAAAAAACCCTTGGCATTAATATATGGACTGGTGTGGGTGAAGCATTTTCCCCCACACACACAATGTTCAGCAGCCAAATCGACGTAAATATTACTTTATTCAGTAGAAAGCAAAGTTAAAAAGAACTTTTGTATGCTTTGTTGGTTAATAAACCAGGCCTTTAAGTTTCTGCTGGAGATTGGACCGAGAAAGTCGATTGCTGAGTTGGATTCCACTATTGAGAAACAAGATGGCGAGCCGTAACCCAGGAGCCCTGTAACCGCCCTCCAGCAGGAGATACGCCCTCTGCTGGACATTTCAAATCATCCAAACTGGTATGACCTGCCCATTTTTTCCTGCTAAAAAAAAGCAGTGGATTCAGAATTAACCCTTCAGGATCAACAGAGAGAAAAGACATTGATTGAAGCACAAGTTATCCAGTCTTTTGCTGGATTTGGTTCTTTTGTGTTTTATTGATTTTCTTCCTGGATCATTTTCAGTATTCATTGTAATTGTGTGGAATGTAAATTGTCTGTTGGGTTATAATAGAAAAAAGAAATAGTTAACACAGGAAATTAAAACCCCTTAACTTCATAGAAAGAACTCTAAATAACTAAAATTGATTAAAAAAGAGATTAAATTTGAACAAACTATAAATAAAATAGTTAATCGTACCAATCTTGAACTTAAATAGAACTATAACCTAGGTTTAAATAAATAGTATCCTTTAATACCTAAAATTAGGTGTAAATGTGAAACAGGGGTCAAACCGATTATTCTGAAAGAAACATGGAAACTATTTTGATTGAATTTTGTGTCATTGTATGTGTATTGTTTGTAATATTGTTCTTTTCAAATAATAAGCCGGCAGTTTAATCATATTTTCTGGTCTGTGGTCATTAATACACTTACACATTTCTCTACTTTCATAGCCGAACCTAGCACTGGTCTTATTATCTGTTTTATCAACTGTAAACTTATCGTGAGTGTTACAGAAAGTGGCGAGCCAGCCAGGAGTAGGAAATAGAAGCTTAAACTGTATTTCTGACCCAGATCACAAAAAAAAGAAAAAAAAAAAGAAAAAAAGGCCAAGTTCAGCGAGAAATGGATATAGTTGACAAAGAAAACATTAAAGTTCCAAACTCCGTGATTGTTAGTGGCATCACTGACACAGAGGTTGATGAAAATGTAACAGACTTCCTAAACAGGTATGGAAAAATAATGAGAACCTTTAAAATAGATGACCTGCATTCTTCTTACCACCAGAATGCCATTGTGGAGTATGAGAGTGGAACTGCTTTGACAGCGCTTGAACCATTACTCCCTTATGTACTTGAGAGCTCAAACAAAATCTCTTATCGAATCAGAGCCCTGTCCACTGAGTATGTGTCTGATGTCACAGATAAAGCCACCCACCGTTTTTTCTGTGAACTGCAAGAAATTGCTAAATTAGGTGGAAAATCCTTTGAAGCCGTCCTGCATGAACACCTGTCCAAATGCTCTCAATCAGTCACAGGCAGCTCTGGGATACCTGAAACTGAGAGTTTTACTCTCGAGACACAAAGTGGCCTGATGAACCCAGTTACCAGACCAACCCAAGGTAATGACCTACTTTTCCAAAGTGAAATTGCAGAGCAGTCTAAAACTTATCTAAGCAACTCTGATTCTGACTCAGTTAACCAACCTCGACCCAATCTAGCCTCTAACCTATCACAGAATCTTGTCACTCACCCTGAAGTGCAAAAAGTAATTGTAGAGCATATAGTAGGAAATGAAGCTCCGGTCTCACAGGTGGGTGCCTCTTTTCGGCTAAGGCAGTTTTCAGGCAAACTGCCTTGTCCTAGCCATGAGGCTGATTTCGATACATGGCGAAACAGTGTCGAGCTCATACTTCAGGATACGGATATGTCTGTATTGCAGTGCTCGCGGAAGATTTTAGACAGTCTCGTGCCACCTGCGTCTAATGTAGTAAAACCCTTGGGCCCTACAGCACTGCCACTGGCTTATCTTGAACTGTTAAATTCAGCTTTTGGCACAGTGGAAGATGGCGATGAGCTTTTTGCTAAATTTCTTAACACCCTACAAGACCCAGGTGAAAAGCCATCAAATTACCTGCATCGCTTGCAGACCGTCCTCTCAAAAGCTTTGAGCAGAGGTGGAGCAGCCCCAGCTGAAGCAGACCGACACCTTCTGCGTCAGTTTTGCCGTGGGTGTTGGGATGATGCCTTACTAGCAGAGCTCCAGCTTGAAAGAAAAAAAGATAAACCACCTTCGTTCACTGAGTTGCTATTGCAGCTGAGAGTTGAAGAAGACAAGCATATTGCGAAAGAAAGCAGAATGAAAAAACACTTCGCTGCTGCGCGACCAAAAGTAGCCTCCCAAGCTATTACTGTAACCTCTGACCTCTCTGATCCCATAGTTCAAGACAATCTCACTGAAATGCGAACCCAGATAACCCAGATGCAAAGTCAGCTGACAAAATTGAAACCCCAAAAGGTAGTTCAACCTGTGGTTCCCCAAAGTGACCTTGTCACAGAACTAAAAGCAAAAATTGCTCAGCTGCAGAGCCATCTAGCTAAACTAAAACCGCCAACCTCCACTAAGAAAAGTGCTAGTGCACCCAAAGCTAGGACACAGACTAAACC